TAGCACTATATTTCCAGAATATTGAAATGTAACACCAATGTCTGTTTATTAAAAACTGTCTCCAAACCTATTGACAGAAATAACACTTTCTGGACAATTTCAAAAATAGCACCTATACATAGATCTGCATGATAATAGCTAAAAAAAACTAAAATCCCACCTCAACTCCATATCTCACTGTAATACATCATAAATCAAGTGTTTTATATTATGTACACACAATAAATTTAAGATGGTGGCTCTAATTACCAATCCATTCATATTTCTTCTACTGCAACATCAATCTTCCCATAGACATTTTCTTTATAATAATATTCTAAAATACCTCAAATACATTTTAATAACTTTTAGTGCCTGTTTGTCTACCATTATTGTGATGAAAATGGGGTAATAAATAGTATTTTTTGGAGAACGTGTGGTTAAAATTAAAAAAAACTTTATCGGTTTATGTGTAGAATATTTTATTATTTGAATGTGTGGTGAAGATTGATTACTGTAGAAAACAATGTTTTGAAAAATGGTAGACAAACAGGGGCTTAATTCTTGCTAAACCTTAAAAATAAACAAATTTTCTATAAACTTTAAAATCTAACACCATTCTTCAATAAACAGATATTTTGTTTACCTGTAGAAATTGAAGAACCCAAGCTTGAAACTCACTTCTTCTTTTTCTTTTTTCCCCTTTCTCTTCTCTCCTCTCTTCCTTCCCTTTTCTTTTCCTTCTTTTCTTTCCTTTTCTCCTCTCTGTTTCTCGATTCTTCTTCTCTCTTTTTCCTCCTCTTCCTTCTTCTTATCTTTTCTTCTTCACTTGGTCTTTCTCGACTCTTCTCTCTATTTTTCCCAAATTTGATAAAAATAAATCAATACTCTTTTTAAGTTAATGGACAAGTATTATATAATTGCAAATCAAGTCCCCGACTTCATATAATATAACATTTAGTCCTTTCACTTATTATATAAGAAACTAAATCCCAAGATTCCCGTTTATTTATTTTTGGCCCTTAAGGTACTAGCAATTGCAAAAAAAAGCCTCATGAAAATCACTCATTCATCTTAAGTACTTATTTGGCTTTGACTTTGACGGTTGAATTACTTGACTTTGATAAAATAATTCCTTAACTTTGACTATAAATGAATGGGGTGTAACATTTTCTAATCCAACTACTTCTGACTTCCACCACGCTCTCCTCAGGAACACCATAAACATATCACCTACCTGAAACATCTTATGACGCTTGTATGTATCAGCAACAGATTTACACTTTGCATTGGAGGCTTCTAACTTTACTTCACCAATTCAATCACCGTACATGCTATTCAACTAGTTGTTCAGTTGCTATTCTCTTTTTCATAAAGTTTGGAAGTCTAACCAAGTTTGCTGCCTATGCGGGAGTCCTTCTATAGCCAATACCAAAAGATGATTTACCCATCGAAGAATGAACTACACTATTATATGCAAATTCTGCATGTGCAAATTCTGCATGTACCAATGGAAGATCCTATTGTTTCTTCTTCTCACCACAGATGCAGTGTAAGAGATTCCATAAGGTTCTGTTAATCACATCAGTTTGACCATCGGTTTGAGAATGAGCAGTGCTGCTAAGTGGCAATTCTATCCCAAACTTCTTTCATAAAGTCGACCAGAAGTAAGCTAAAATCTTTGGATCTCAATTGAAAGTGATAGATCGACGGATCCCGTGTAGATTGACAATTTCCTAAAAGAACAACTTTACCTTATGCGGTGCATCACCGTGTTAGGATAAGGAATAAAATGTACCATTTTCGAGAACCTATTCAGCACAACAAAATAGAATCTAAACCTTGTTGTGTACGAGGCAGTCCCAGCAGAAACTCTATGGAAAAATTCTCCCAAGGCTGCTCTAGAATAAGCAAAGGCATATACAAACTCCATGTCCTAGCATAAACTCCATATCCTTTTTGCATTTGCCAAATTGGACACTTCCTTACGCACTTGCCAACATCCCTCTTTAATCGTGACAACAGTAACGATCTTCGAGATTGCCATTTGTCTTGTCTCGACCTAACTGACCACTCAATCCCCTAACATATAACTCTCTTATTAATTTCTCACGCAAGGAGGTGAGCAGAATACACAACTCATTACCTTCAAACAAAAAGCCATCATGTACTGGAAAATCGTCCATTGGTTGCTTCGTCAAGTGTTTTGCCCATAACGACCCAAAGTCTTCATCTCTTTGATAAACCTCTTGTGAGAATTCAAATATAACCACCTCATTACCTACAGTAACCAGCAAAGCAACTCTCCTACTTAAAGCATCAGCAACCCGATTGATGGCCCCAAATTTGTAGTTTATCACATAATTAAACTACCCAAAATATGCAGCCAATGAACGTGCATTTTATTCTTCAAATCTCTTTGATTTTTAAATTGTACCAAAGATTGGTGTTCCGAATATATTACGAATTCACGTGACAGCAGGTAATGTTCCCAATTCTTCAATGCTCGAAATACTACATACAACTCCTGCTCATAGGTTGACGACTTCTATCAGGCCTCATGAATTTTTTCACTAAAATATTCTACTAGTTTGTCTTGTTAATAAAGTACTCCAATTTCAGTGTCACGATGATTAATACGTGTAAGAATTCTAGCATCACATTCAATCTCAAAAAATTTCTCATAATGCCAAAATGGGAGCAGAAGTTAATTTTAGCTTGATATCTTCAGCGTTCTCAGGAGTAGCTTAGCACACTGAACTTCTCGCCCATCTTCTTCTTCAAGCAATCTGTTATAGGAGCCATGATACTACTAAAATTATGAATAAAATGCCTACAGAAAGTAGCGAATCCATGAAAACCCTCGATGAGGGAACTAGGTGTTGGCCAACTCCTAATAGCAGATAGCTAGAATTTTATGCTCATCCACATGTATTCCTTCGAACTTGCTACATACCCCCAGAAAGAGAACTCTACTCGTCTTAAAGTTGCACGTTTTCAATTTGATGAATAACTCATTATCCTGCAATACTTCTAATACTTTCCTCAAGTGTTCTTCGTTATCAACTTCACTCTGACTATAAATCAGAATATCGTCAAAATAAACAAAAACAAATCTATCTAGAAAAGGTTTCAAAACTTGGTTCATTAGCTGCATAAAAGTACTCGATGCATTGGAAAGGCCGAAAGACATAACCAGGGGCGGAGCCACATATGGGCTAGTGTGGGCACATGCCCACACTGAACTTCTGGGCTCGAATATTTGGGCTCGATTTTTTTTTTAAGTTATACAAGGCCCCAACGTCTAAGGGAGGCCCATCCCAATAAAAAATTTGTAAACATTTTTTCTCATTCCCACCCAGGCTCAGACAGCTCCATTCCATTTGCATTTCACATTTTCACTCCCCAAATCGGCATCGTCTTCTCCCGTTCTTCATTTGCGCAGCCGCAGCCTCCTACGTGCATGGTGGCGGATGGTGCATCATCGGTAATCCAGTGGACCAGTTGAACAGAAAAGGCTACCGAGCCATCAAGACGACTTCACTTCAGGCACAACTCCATTTCCAGCACTCCGCACTCGTGATCGTGAGTCCATCCGTGACTCGTCTGCTCCAAGCCTCCACTTCACTTCGCACCGCTTGCTCCGCCTAGCCTCCAGCCCCGGGTCCTCCATTTCACATTTTCACCTCGCGGGCTCGCACCTCGGCACCCGTAACTCGTAAGATACACAGCTTTACACTTACGCCTTTACCCACTGACACTATTGAAAATTGAAATTTGAGTTGATTGGTTTTGTTGAATCATTTGCTAATTGCTTCTATTTTGTGTTTTTCATCCATACAGAGGCGAAGTTATGATTTGGCCCCTCACCGCTGATTTTGAATGGCTGAATTAGAACACAGGCGAAAATTGATTCAGCCTTCTCTGCTTAGTCTGTTACTCTGTTTGGGTATTAATGGATTGAAATTGCTGAAATTTGGGAATTGTTGAATTTAAATTGATGAAATTTGGGTATTGTTGAATAATTGAATTGAAATTGTTTGTTGTTCTTTGAGTATTGTCGAAAACTGAAATCTTAAGATGAGATTGCTTTTCAATTGCTCTTGAAATTAGACATAGAAGCCTCAGGCCTGTGAAGCCATCGAGCCTAAGGTGTTTATTGAGGTGTTTAATAAGGAGAAATATAGAGTTGAGGCTGACTTTAAGGTTTATTCAATTTTGATATACGGTTGGTGTAAAATAGGGAAAATAAAGATGGCTTGAAGGTTTTCGAGGAAGATGTTGGAGAGGGGGGATTGAGATGGCTCAAAGGTTTTGGAAAATCAAGATGCCTCGTAGTTATTCAATTTCAATATCATCCATTCTCTTCAGCGAATTATCTTCCTTGTATCCTTATTCTTCTAAAATGTCATTTCTGCTAAGTAGTTTCTCTTGACCATCCTTAATGACTTCTCTAACCTTAGCATAATCGATACCATTTTCCTTGCTTTCATCTTCCACCAATTCAATTCTCACTTCAATTTCTTCCTTCATGACATGCTCTTATTCCTTTTCCTCCATTGAAACTGCGTTCCCCTTAACAAGGGATTCGTTTTGGTCTTCTACTACTTGTTCCCTTTCCTCTTCATCCATTGCAACTACATCCACTTTCAAAGTTTCTATCCTCCTCAACGCCTATTAGCTTTTCGCCCTTACATTCTAATTGGGGTATTCATATCCATGACTAAAAACTCGACGTTCGGCGTGGACAAATTGTGCACACACTAAACGCCAATCCTAGCTCCGCCCCTGGGCATAACCAGACACTCATACAAGCCCTCATATGTTTTAAAGCTATTTTTCACTCATCCAGCCTGATCCAAATAGGTGATCTTGCTCTTTAAATCAATTTTCGAAAACACAATATATCTAGCCAACTAATCCAACATATTATCCAGCCTTGGTGTATGAAACAGGTACTGCACACTAATTTCAGGTTGTTTTCGTGGTTTTGAAATCACAGACTTTACATTGGAACACTCTCAACCTAAGTCAAAGTTTAAAACATGAGGAACTTCCGAGTCAACTACTGCCTTAAATGTCGACCAGACAAACACCTCAGTTAAGAGCATTAACCAGAAGAATGCAGTATTCGTTGATACACACCAATTACCATCTCCATTGGCCCCAAAACTAGGAAATGATGAAGATCTGCCAACTGCATAAATTTCGTCAACTGAGACGGGAATGAGTGGGTTAAAGTCACCTTCAATGACGCATAAGAAGGAAGTTGGACCGGCGAAAGTTCTGGTGGACAAAAAGAAAATGGATGCAAAGAAGAAAAGCCTGGAAAGATTGTAGGACTTTCTTGTTTCATTCTATGAGATGATTTTTTCTGTTTCTGTGAATAGATGGACATAAAGAATCATGTATAAACGTGTTTTATTACATTTATATTAAATGGGTAGTTTTGAACTGCTCCAACAAACTATTTATATTTAATACTTAATTTTACTCATCTCAAAAAATATTTATTATTATTTTTTATCTTTTAGTTTAACTAGTTTTTTTTAAGATTATTTTATTGTTATTCTATATTGAAAATTAAAACACTTTGAATGTATTTAATTATAGAGTGTGGGTTTGGCTATCTCTAAATCAAAATATTAATTTAAAAAGTTTCTTGAAGCATGATTTTAAATGTTGATTTCTTAAAATAGAGAGAATCTCATGTTTAAAGAGTCTGTTGAAGATGCTCTAAACCCAATGTATATCTGGCAAAACTTGTAAAAGAATTCCGTAGCTTTTCTAGGAAATATGCAAGAAAACACGAGCAAATTAGAGTTGAAACAATTTGAAAACGAACAATACAACAAGCATTTGATACTCGTAATATAACATAGGCCCCATTTGGTGCACATTTTGAAGATAGGAATGTATTTTTACTGTTGATGTGATGAAGAATATGTGGTTGAAAAAAATAAAAAAGTTATTGATGTGATGAAAAATATTATTTTATTGAAGAATGTGTGGTTGAAAATGTGTAGAAGAATGAGAATGAAAAAAATAATGTAGACCAAACATGATCATAATAATGAAAGATAACAGGAGTTATATTGATGTGATGAAAAATATTATTTTATTGAAGAATGAGTGGTTGAAAATGAGTAGAAGAATGAGAATGAAAAAAATAATGTAGACCAAACATGATCATAATAATGAAAGATAACAGGAGTTATCGACAGGACGAGCTTTAACAAGAACAACTTCGTTGGATCAGTCGAAGCCCTTAAGGAATCGACAAATGGAAGACTGGCAATTGCAAATACCAGAAGTAAGAAAGAAATATTACATAAGCAATAAAGAGGATTTCCACCAACATTACAACAGAGGTTGATTTGAACTCAATACCATAAAATAAAATAATGAAAACAGAAACAAGATACAGACCAAGTACTCGACCCTATTTCTCTCTCTTTTTTTTTTTTTCCCAGTTTTGTTCTTATTTTTTATTCAGAAGATTTACTAGAGAGGGACATTACTTTGCCATCATCACCTTGACAAACTCTTCGTAATTGATTTGTCCATCACCATCAACATCAGCTTCCCTAATCATCTCGTCTACTTCCTCATCAGTCAGCTTCTCGCCAAGATTGGTCATCACATGGCGCAGCTCAGCAGCAGAGATGAAACCATTCTGATCCTTGTCGAAAACACGGAAAGCCTCCTTAAGCTCCTCCTCAGAATCCGTATCCTTCATTTTCCTGGCCATAAGGTTCAAAAACTCGGGGAAGTCAATGGTTCCATTGCCGTCGGCATCAACCTCGTTTATCATGTCCTGAAGCTCAGCTTCTGTCGGATTCTGCCCCAGGGATCTCATTACTGTACCGAGCTCCTTGGTTGTGATGCACCCTGAACATTAGCATTCGTTAAAAGTCATTAATTTTCGTATGACATTCTTAATCAATTCTGGGATCCAAGTAAACATTATTTAGAATAAAGATTAGCAAGCAATCCTCTCTTTCCCTCAAATTTCAACTCTAAATTGAAACAGATCTGATACAGAAACAGAAAACCCGTATTCAAAACCTAAATATAAATGTGAAATAACAACAGGAAGATAAAAAAAGAAAAAAGAAAAAGAAACAAGAACCGAACCATCGCCGTCTTTGTCAAATAGGCTAAAGGCCTCCTTGAACTCAGAGATCTGATCATCTGTCAACTGATCTGCCATTTTTTCTCCTTAATACCTTCTCTTATTTCGACCTCGAACAATTTTTCTTAATTTTTTCGAAGATATGAGACGGGCTCTTGACAGAAGTAGTCGGCTCTGTAAAGCTAAACGGAATATATATAGAGAGTGAGACAGTGGGATACACAGACAGATTTTTCAAACAAGAAAGGTAATATGATAAAATTTAAGCTAATTTCTTACATTCAATATAGTTACAGTAATCGAATAATTATCTTTGCCGTGTCTGTAATAAAAAATTATGATGTATGTGGCATTTTGCACGGGACATGATCGGTTTATCTGTTTTTGTGCACCCGAATTTCCTGCTTTGCCCTTCCCTTTTTTCTTTCCTTCGTTAGCCCTTGTTTGGGTTTAAAATCAAATTTTAAGGAAAAATGTATTTTAAAATAGTGATTATTTAAAGAATGTTTGGTTAAAAAAAAAAAAAGAAAATTTCGAATTTACTTGTAATATTATTTTATTGAAAAATGTGTGGTTAAATAAAAAAGATAGAAAAAAATACTTTAAAAAATTTTAATTGAGCCCAAACAGGGGGCTTATTCATTTTATGGAATGCATTTTACAAAATACATTAAGTAGAGATGTAAAATGAATTGGATCGTCCAGACCTGTAAGACTAGCTCAAGTCAAGCTCGATTCTAAGTTTTAAACGAACCTTTTTTTGCAAGTCTAATTTTAGTTTTTCTATATTTTCGAAAGTATTAAGCCCCCGTTTGTTCTACATTATTATCTCATTAAAATGAAAAATATGATCATTATCCATCACATCAATATTTAAATTCAAATTTTCTATGCCTTATGTGGGCCCCAATAACAGATATATTATTTCATTCTCATTCTACAATAATTTGACTCAAACATGACCTAAATAACAAATGAAATTGTTGAACTTAATAACTTGACACTATCTGGTATAGAATGCGTATTTCTCTTTGAAACTATTGGAATTAGATAATCTATTGAATTTGATTCAAGATTTAAAATAGACGAGATTTTAAAATCGAGAACTCCACCATTTATTTTACCCACTTGTTTTCATTTTATAATTTTTTTTAACGAATCATTATGAGGATTGGATCGGAACAAGCGAAAATGCGTCTATAATCCACTTTGATTCCATCCCTACACATGAAACCGTCTAATTCTAATTGATCCATTTCTCATAGGAATTAAAATTAATCGAATTATTTTCATCCTTAGCCCTGAATTTATTTCTTCCCCTTTTTTTTCCTTCTGTATCAGGGTTAGAAATGTAAATACCAAATGCTAAATGGTCATGAGAAATTGAGATTAAAATATTATTTAGTTTAACATAGGTCCACTTTAATGAATTTTCATGAATGGAATTTTATTCTTTGTGTGTGTGTGTCCCACAAAGAAAAGGAGATTCTACGCGGCCCTCACACGGTGTTCTTGAAGTCGACTAATTTAGTGAAATATGGGCTATCAACGGGAAAAGTTTTCCGAGTCAAATATGGGCTATCAACGGGAAAAGTTTGAACCGGACTCCATATATGTGGGCTGGGCTTGACTTGTATAGATTTGCTGGCAGGACCCGACCCGACCAGCTTCAAAATATTCCAGCCCAGATTTTTTCCCTAAACAAATTGCTCATTTTAATAAGGGAAAAATTCACAACTCAGACTTTATCTATTCCAAAATAAAAAATCATACCTCAAAGTTTAAAATTGCAAAAATCAAAATTTTTTTTGAATTAATTAATTATATTTCACAATTATTATATTAAATTAAATATTTAACTATAATATAATATAATATACCCCACCCCACCTCACCTCCATCTCCACCACCCCAATTGCTCCGGCGGCTGTTCTCCGGCCGCCTTAATTTCGCCGACTACTCCGGTGACCGTTCCGCCACCGCTTAATTCCGACGACGGCTCTGATTCCGATAATTGTTAATGTCACAGTTATATGCAGTTTGGTCATGGATTATTTTGAGATCACAGATGAAAAAAATTTATAGGTCACGGTTGACTTCATGGATCGCTGACAAAAAAATTATAGGTCACATGTTATATTTTAAGGTCACGGAGTAACGAGTTTTAAGGTCACAATTACCCAAACACCCTTCCCCAATCCTAGTACATCACCAATACTTTGTCACGTGTCACAGATCAACCAAATAGATGGTCACAGACACTTCGACCCATCCGCTGCACCTGTCCCCTAATCCCAATACACCAATAATACTTGGTCACAGGTTAAAAAACGACCAAACTTTTTTATAGGTCACATATTAAAAAAAATCAGAACTTTTACGGGTCACAGTGAGTCACGGTCACAATTTCTAGGTCACAGACACCCATGATCGCCTCCACCACCACAGCCAACATCCCAACCACCTCCAAAAATATTAGATCCACAGAACGACCACCGCCCCAATAATTATGTCATCGCCACCTCCACCTCACAACCAAAAATGCAGCTCCACCACCATAGTCGTACCTCAACCTGCACCATAGCACCATCACCACGCAAATCTTCAACCCATTACCATACAAACACACAACAGCACCAACGCTACTGTACCACCACACAGATTCACAACCCACCAACACACAAACAACATCGTGCCACAATTGATTTCTAACCTCCACTATCATAGCGACAGAAAAAGATTTTGCCCACATCCATCGTCCCTACAACGACAGAAAAAGATTTTACCCACATCCAGTGGCAGATTTTGTAAATCGATAAATATGAATCCAAAGTCGATCTACCACTGGTTGTGAGAGTGAAAGGCGATGGCTAATTTTTGGTGATAGTGGCCGGAGCTAGTGGGTGGTGATAGGAAAAATTAAGAGAAAGAATAGAGAGAGGGAATGAGTTAGAGAGAGTCACAACAGAGGGATGGGGGAAGGGGGACGCTGCTACGCAGCAGAGGGAGGGAGGGGGAGGGAAAGGAGAAGGGAAGAGGCGGCAGGCGGCGGTGGTAGAGAGAGGTGGCGGTGGAGGCGGCGACCGGTTGGAAGAAAAGTTGAGAGGAGAGAAAGGAAATGGATTGGGTTAGGGTTTGGATAGAGTTAGGGTTTTATATTTAAAATAAATTTGGTGGGGGTAGGTAGTAGGGTGTGTATATAGGTTATTTTAATTTTATAATATCATTATTAATTAAAAATGATAAAACCTGATTTTTGATTAAAAAAAGTTTAAACCTTCATAAACTTAAAACTAAATAACTGGTTTTATGTAAATATCCCTTTTAACAAAAGTGATTCGTTTTGTAATTACTGGGGCTAGAGCCCATGCAAGTGGTGCTAGTAAAAAAGCCCGGCAGGCTTCCAAAGGAGCCCAATAAGCTGAACCCAACATATGCATCATTTCTATTTATTTATAATTTAAATTGATTATAAATAATTCCCCAACACACTAAGTTAACAATATACTATCGTGTCATATGAAGTTTTCTCGAAGGAAACTGTTTTCCATTTTTATGAATAAGAAAAAGAATAATTTCGTTTACTAAAAATTAACTCATTCTACACTTTGTGACAAAGATTTTTTTAGTGTAATTCATCGAGATGATTTTTCCTTTTTCTTCTCGTCTATGTCAAGTTGCTTCTGCATTCGAAGCTTTACTTAAACTTCATCCTTATCGTTAGTATTGTAATAATTTCATAAATTCTAAAGAAACCTTGCCCATTTAATCATTGTAAGCCATGCGTTTGACACGACTTTTGAAAAGTAAAAAAAAAAGTTTGAAACTAAAAGTAGCTTTTGATCATTTTGACTAATTTTATAAAAAAAAAAATGCTTCTTTTAGGTAGAATAGTTTTTAGATGAAGTTGGTCAAATGTGACTTCCTTTAAAATCACTTCTAAAATAAAAAATACTTTAAAAAATTAGTTAAACAAAAATTAAGGGGGTGTCCTCAAATGAGAGTTTAATGGATTTTAAAACTTTATATAAATTGAGGCGTCCTCAACTCAAATTAAAATATAATTCACTAAAATTTAGATGTCGTCAATTTAGAGTTTTATAAATACTTCAAAATTTAGATGTTTTCAACTTAGATTTCAATAGTTTCTTGAGAAATTTAGGTATCCTCAATAGCTGCTTGATTTAGAGGGATTTCAATAATTTGATGGATTTTAATAGATTTTAAAAGATTTCAAGCCATAAATATAAATACCCAACCGTCAAAGTTTCACAAATTCTCAAGCCATTTTCTGCAACTATTTTTTCACCTCTCCATCTCTCAATTTCTTGGTTGTGACAGGTTTTTCGCTTCTCTCTCTCTCTCTCTCTCTCTCATTTCTCTGCTGTGAACAAGTTTATCTGTATATGTATGATAATTTATTAATTGATGATGATTTTTGGAAGTTTTACACTATTTTTTGTTGAATATTGGGTGTGATTAATTTGGTAGTGAATTTATTTCTATATTTTTCAACCACGTCAAGTGTAAGTTCATTCAAGAAATTCATTTAGGCACATAATTCTAACATTAACAGAAATAAATTTCTTGTAACAATGATAACCCGGTCCCTCTAATGGAAAAATCATAGGGGGGGGGGCATTAATGGAAGCATTGAACTACCCTACTATCCATAAATATCAATTACTGCATTTTGCAGATGAATTTTTAATAAATATCAGATGAGTTTTTAATCACGAAAGTGGTATATATTAATTTCAGAATTCTACCCAAGTTCTATTGCACGTATCTCCTTGGAAAATGACTCTCCGTTAACTATGAGTTTTTTACCTCCTTAAGTGGTGAAGTTGAATATACATGTTTCTATATTATATTATTCAAATGTTTAACAAACAATTGAACAATATTTGATCATTTGGTTATTTTATTTTATTTTATTAACTGTAAACGTGTAAGAATGAGTTTAGTAATGAGGTTAATTATTAAGTGGATATTAGATTAATAAGCTATAAGTGAGGTTTATAATCTGTACGTGGACAATCAACATTTGAAGTGGTGTTTGAGAAGGGGTTTTGATG